CTTGTGCTGATGTTGGTGGTCTCTTTGATGTCGTCTCCTCAGGCTTCTCCAGATCGTCTTTGTCTTCTGTAACAGATGCTACAACAATTTCTGCAATGCCAAGTTCTGCTGATATTGACAGGCCCTGATCTATCCTTAGATATGTTTCTGCAGTAGAGTCTAGAGAGATGAGATCTTTCAATCGATCAAACAGATTACAGAACTCATCTGTATTTTCTCTGTTCATTGTCTGTGACTTATTGTTGCAGGTAACTAGCTCCAGTTTTCTCTGAAAGCCAGCACGGTGGAAGCAATTGACAATGATTGTTTGAGAGACTTGCGACCAAGCAGAGTTAAGGTAGCAAAGGGAAGAGTATTCATCAACAACAAACTTTTCTTCACTTTTTCTACCACTTCTTTGATTTTCAATGTGCAAAATGAGCTTTTTAACAAACTGCTGCCTGTACTTTTGTTTAAAATCTTTTACTATGCCCTGGTCACATCGTTGGAGAATGCTGGCCGTGTTTTGGGGCAGGAACACAAGATTAATCGCTGATAAAATGAGCTTAGGATGAGCAGTGCAATTATCGACGACCATGGCAACCTTTCGATTTTGTGCGGAAAATCTTTCATCTAAATTTCTGAGCCATTCCTCAAAAATGTCCCTTGTCATCCATGCTTTCTTGTTTGTCTTGTATTGCAGAGGCAAGGCTTTGTTTTTAAAGGCTCTATGTTTTTGCGATTTGCCAATAACCAAAAGAGGCAGTTTTCAGAACCTGTCATGTTGGTTGCAACTAGAACAGAAAACATTTTCTTCGAATTCTTGCCATCAGCACAAGTTCCATTTTTTTATGCTAAAGTCTTAACAGGGAGGCATTGATAATACAGGCCAGTCTCGTCTGCGTTAAAGATGTCAGAGGGTTCATAGGTCGCCAAAACATTTTGAAGCTGTTCTGCCGCCAAGTCATTGGCTTTTTGTTTGGGTACACAGGCTGCTTCACTGCTGATGTTACGGAAAGTTATGCCTTTACGTTGTTTAAAACGCTCAAGCCATCCAAGATTGGGCTCGAAGTTAATATTCATTTCCTCCGCAATAAAAACAGCTTTCTTCATCAAAATTGGTCCCAAGATTGGAATATTCATACATTGAACTTGTGTAAGCCACTTGAACAAAGCCACCTCAATGTCTTCGTGGCTTCTTTTCTTCATCTTCTTGACAGAGGGTTGGAAAAACTCACCACTCTTCGACATTTCTATTTTTTCTCTCCCAGCGATGATTGTCTATAATGTAGAGTTGGGAATGCCATGTTTACGGCAAATTTCACTTTTGGACAGTTTATTCTCATCCACCTCTTTCAGTAACTGTAGATCTATGCATTGTGCTTTCTCTTCGACATTGTCTGCTTGCTTAATCTTCCGAACAGTCACGCAGAATAGACATAAAAACAGATCAGCACACTGTACGTTAGTGCACTGTGCTCTGCACAAGAGAAATCAAAAGGCTCAATGCCAGTAAAGAAATGAAACACATCCTGTGCCGTGCACAAATTCATGTGTATGTGAACTAGCTTCTCAGAGACAGACAATAGACTATGAACCACCAAGGGTTGCACGACAGATACATATCGCTGGTGGAGTGATGAAACCTCGTAACCCTCAATTTTTTCGAAATTCGTTTTTTTGGCTTAACATCTTCTCCCAGTCCTTCTTCACAATGTGTCAAAAGCACTAGGTTAAATAAGTAAAAGAAAGTATGAAAAAAACTTAATAAAAAAACCTCGTATGTTTGCCCCCATGATATCCTGGCGTGATGAAACCTCGCAACCCTCACCTGGTGCGCCGATCTGCTTTTGCGTGGTTTCATCACTCCCGGTTTGAAAGAGCGACTTGCTTATACGAGGTTCTGGATAAGCCTTCTTTATGAATTAGCTCAATTGAAGCGCTCATAACTGACATTGTGTGGTGCATTTAATGTATCTGACGGAATAAAGAAATATTTCATTCATTCATTCTTACATACATTCATTCATTCTTTTATTAATTCACTTTATTTCAGTCAGTTCAGAAGTTCAAATATGGTCATACGAGAAGTACTTACATTGTGTAAATATATTAAAAATCCATTCATAAGGATGACTAACGAGCTAGTAATCAAGATGTTCTCATCGAGCACAAACGTAGTTAACATTTAAGTTAAGGCAACAGTCACACCTTGAAATGACAGGTGACAGTAGCCCTTACTAAGACTAGGTGACAGATCTATGCACTCTCCAGATGTCAACAAGTCATTCTGTTTATCAAAGAGAGGTTAAGGTTTCGCATTTTCTCAGATTATTTTTAGTTTTAGTAGATGTTTTACGGCGCTCGCAACTGTATAAGGCTATACGAGCGCCAAGGGTTGAATGTCAACAGAGAAGTCCTTACAGGGAATC